TTGCGGGACACGGCGGGTAGTCCTGAGCGGGCAAGATAGCTCCATCTTGCCCGCTCGGGTAGCCAATCACAGCGCAGGATTTGATTTATCTTGCCCTCTCACGGAGCTAGCCATATAATAAGGCCATATAAAATACCTGTAGCATTTAAGGCGACATTTTCTGATCGCTTTTCGTTCCACCTGGCGATTGTCATTTGCCAAAAAGGTTGAGTTCTGGGGCATTCATATCGGAGGTGAAGAGGTTTAATATCAGTAATTTGTTCATATTACCGGTTCTCAGATACGAAGTAGCATATTTCCAACTTACGCCATTATTCACCCATATCTTGAACAATTTTTGTCGCCAGTTGCAGATATTTTCCATCAATTAAAGGCTATTCACAACGATACAAAATACGCACCTTACTTAAGATGGAGCCACAGAGAGAAACCCAATTACCTAGTTCAAATGAATATCTGTGCTTTGAGACTGATAACTTTACAACATGATCCAGTAAATTTCATTTTTACATGACCTTTCTTGTAGAAATACTAAACCAAAAACAACTAATTAAATATGCATAAATTGGTGTCAAACGGCTATTTTTGCAGGAGTCCCATAACTTGAAGGGAATAAAATATTTCGACTAAATTTTTGACCACAATCATTCACTCACCAAACCCAACATTTGCGCCAAGTGTGAGCGAAATCAATGATTTGAGCTGATCACCACCTGCCTCACCTCCTGTGACGTGGCAAAATGGTGGTGGCAAGATGATCAACACGTTCCGCCCTTTCGTCGTTTATATCTTTCACGTTGGTTTATTTTACATTTACCCTACCGTTATTTCGATATGACTGGATCGACCAAAGTCCTGGTGGCACGATTTTTTAATCACCGAAAGTCCATACTTGCTGTGCTTGAAAACAAGGCTGCAATTCGAAGGACCGCGAACTTCACTCTCAAAGGTCTCTTCAAAGCTTAAATGCCTTACTACTCGAATTCTTTTGCTTCATTCGCTATCACACGCATCCTGCTATCGGGTGACGTTGAACTGAGTCCTGGAATGACTGTCATGGACTAATTCTAATGAGCACTGCAACACGAACGCTTCGAAACGTCGTAAAGAGAACATCACAATAGCTCATTTGAATGCTCGCTCTATAAAAAACAGGAACCACTTCATTCTTCTCAAGGACGCTGTCAGGGCTAAAATGCTGGATGTCCTAACAGTAAGCGAGACCTGGCTGGACAGTTCTGTCCCTAATTCTGAAATCGAAATTCCAGGCTATAGCATATTTTGCCTTAATCGTTTAGACAACGTTGGAGGGGGCGTGTGTGCATTTGTGAAGCATAATCTCAAGGTTTAATTACTGAGCGAGTTGTCATTTATTGGGGAATCTGGCCTCCACCAGCTATGGCTCAAAGTACAGGCAGGCAATTGTAAGTCATTTCTGATATGTACGGCTTATAGGCCTCCTTTAACGTCCACAGACTGCTTTGATGCGGAGTTTAGCGATGCCTTTATCTCTGCCATGTCATTAAATAAACCTATTTACATCTTAGGCGACCTGAACTGCAACCTTCTAAAACCGGCCGACCCTGCATCGCAAGATTTTCTCAATTTTTGTACGTCACTTAATTTAATTCAAATGATAGTTGAACCGACAAGGGTCACTGAATCATCCGCAACCCTGTTTGATGTCATCTTGGCTTCGAACAACAACTTAGTAAGAACTGCAAAGGGCATGCCAGTCTCCATTAGCGATCATGATGTAGTCTATGCTGTTCTTAAACTTAAGCGACAACGTCCCAAGCCAACATTTATAACAGCTAGAAGTTTCAAGAAGTATCAACATGAGGTTTCCCTCCGCGACATTTCCCTAATCCCGTGGTCTGTTGTTGATTGTTTCGACGAAGTTAACGATAGCCTTCAATGCCTTTAATCTCTTATTTAACGAAGTATTGGACGAACACGCACCTGTGAGCACCATCAAACTGCGCGGCCGACCAAACCCGTATATAACGGATGAAATTAGAGAGCTTATGAAAGTGAAGGACTAATGGCGAAAGCTAGCAGAACGAGAATACAAAGCGGATCAAATCAAGAGCAATCCCAACAATTCAAGTTGTTTATGGAAAACAATCCAATCATGTATTCCTAAGAAATCTGCCAGCGAGAGATCCTACAGCAGAGATGACAGAACGGTGGCAAACGAGTTTAACCGTTTCTTCACCTCGGTTGGCCGAGAGATCGTTGACAAAATTAATTCGCTTGCCAGCCAATGTGATTATGATCATTGGAAGCCCCCCTTTGTCCCTAGGAAACACCCCGAGGCCAATCAATTCAATTTTAAGCTCGTAGAGTGTTCAAGTGCTGTCCGGTCAATGCCAACAAACAAATCTCCCGGGATTGACAACATTCTTGTCCGCGTGATTAAAGACAGCCTTCCAGGGTCTCCCAACTATACTGCCGACCTTAAATAAACGCCTCATTTGCCACCAGGATTTTCCCACGTTCTTGGAAGATGGCCGAGGTTTCCTGCCAATTTTAGAAGACGGTAACTTCGAGGAACCTAACAATTACAGACTCATCTCTCTCCTGCCCATTATGTAAAAGAGATGTGAGAGAATGCTTTAAATCAATTAATGCCTTACTTGTTGTCGAATGAAGGGCTGTCTGTAACGCAAAGTGGAAATATAAAATTCCACTCGTCAGAGACATCACTAATGCACACGACCGAAGCTATCCCAGGTGGAATAGATAAAAAGAAAATAACCGCGGTAGTATTATTGGATATTAGTAAGGCCTTCGACACGATAAACCATGACATTTTACTTCAGAAACCGCAAGACGACGGTATTTCATCTTCGGGCGTCACTTGGTTTAACAGTTACTTATCTCAAAGACATCAAGTCATTCGTATAAACAAGGAATTGGCGGATCCATTACCCATAGACAGGGCCGTACCACAAGGGAGTATCCTGGGACCTCTCCTTTTCAGTATTTACGTGAACGATCTACCATCAGTTTTTAAGCACTGTCAATCTGAAAGCTATGTTGATGACACTAAACTCCACATTTCCTTCTCAATTTAAGACTGGGCTAATACTATCCTTGACATTAATGACAATCTCTTAAGAATTCGTAACTGGTGTTTTGACAATCATCTCCTCCTGAATCCAGATAACACAAAGCTTATGATATATGGAAGTCGTCAGCTGCTCTCCAACATAACATAACATATCTTAATTGACCACTCCCCCAATGGGGCTTTTCAGGGCCAATGAAACCAAATGATGAAACAAATAATGCAAATGAACATAACAGGGTTAAAAATCCCAACTGGCAGGAGGCAGACCAGTTGGCTATGTACAAGCATGACCGAGGAGTTGAACAAGGGTCTACCGAGAAACAACTCCAGCTTAGTGGTCAGAGCGGGACCTTCGAATTTCAAGTCCGGAGCTCTAACCACTCGGCCACGCTGCGTCCTATAAACTCCCTGGCGTCCGTCTTTTGTTAATGAGAAAGGAACTCTTGCCCGCAAAAGTCGTCAAAGACCTCGACGTTACATTTGACCCGAACTTCACCTTTTCTGATCACATCCTTAAAACTGTTTCGTCCTGCGTGTCTAGCCCAGCTCAAATTAGTCGTGTGAAGCATGTGTTTGATAAAAACACTCTAATCATTATAATCAATGTCAGTACAGAACTTCGCTGCCAGAATAATTAGTAACACCAGAAAGTTCGATCACGTGACTCCAGTCCTAAAAGAGGTTTACGCTGGCTGCCAGATAAATGACAACTGTATCATCGTTGAAGTTGTGCTTGCTTTTAAATGCATGACCGGACAAGCTCCCGCTTACCTTTCGTCGCTCTTTTTAAAGCGAGCGGAGATAAGTGGCCGTGAGACTCGAAATTCGCAACTTTTAAACATTCCTCTTTTTAAGACCTCTACAGGACAAAGGACTTTCTACTATCGAACAGTGTCATTATGCAATAGTTTAGAAAGAAATCTTTTAAGATTTCTTAGCTTAAAAGCTAAGCAAATCTCTGAATGTTTTTAAACGAAGATTACGAGGTAAACTCTTACGTGATTTTATCTTCAAAATACAATATTGTCACATAATTCTACCTTATTTCATATTATTTTTATAATTCCTTGGCACGTTCATTCATTTCATTTTAATTTAATGCAACTTATTTAGTAGTATTAGTACTGAAAAGCCCCCTTGTGGAGTGCTAATAAAATCTGTACTGTACTGTACTGTACTGTACTGTACTGTACTGTACTGTACTGTACTGTACTGTACTGCCTGGTTTTCTCATGGACACACTCTTAAACCAGTTTCATTAAACTTGAGTCTCGGCGAGACTTGAGTCTCTGGCGAGTCCCAATTCCCATTATACAACTTCAGGACCTTTTGTCCTAAACGACGCTCGACATGCTCGAAGTTTTCCTGAACGACGCTCGACTTGAAAGTCTAGTTCAATGATTTTGACATTCATTGTTAACGTTATCGATTTCGCAGGCTAGTACTACAGCCGCTAAGGCTGCCAAAAAGTTGTTTATGGAACAAAAGAGCGCCTTTTTATCCCACTTTATGCAGTGTTTGTCAGGTTAACAAAAGAAACATCTGCCGATTGACCAAGTAAAGGGAGCGTGCCAATTTTCAGTCCTTTGCATAAGATGTTGTTTTCTACGCGTTCACTCGTAAGAACGGTCAATAAACAAATCCCTTTATCACATGTTGTCTTCGTTGGTAAATGCCCGAGCGCGTGTATTAATGTTAAATGTATTTATGATTTTCGGGGAGCAATTGTCCGTTGTGATTTCTGTACCAAGCAACACGTTCATTTATAAACAAATTTCTCGCCTACTAATTTTTTTAAAAAAATCTTGCGTTTTGCACTGTTTTGTTTCCCAGTTGTTTTCACATGGCCAAGTGAAAGTTTCCTATTTCGACATTATAAAAGGTTCATGTGGTGTAAAACGAAATACAATCTACCGTATTATCCAAAAGCAAGTCGGTGCAAATAAACATGTTTTAATTGTTTTGTTTTTAACATAGCTCGCACTTGAAGTTAAGCTGGTTATCCCGAATGAAAGAAAATGCATCGATCCAAAATTCGTAGCAAAAGTTGTAAAATCAGGAACAATTAAACCCAGTTTTGTGACGTTCTTGTTTACTTGACATATCTACCGAACAAAAACCTTTGTTAATTGTGCACAAGCATTTCGGCGTTTGTCAAATTCAGATCATCCCGTCTTTTTACCCATTGTACTGCGTTTACCGAGACAAAAATACCAGACTCAATTTTGTTCAAAATCCAAAGGAGAAAGTATTCATTTTCTCGTAGCATCTACTGCTACGAGATTTTAGCACTGGAGAAGTAAGGATAGAAGCACCAGTAAACACTGCAGCATTTAAGCAGCACTCTCATTTTCTCACAACTTATACCCGAGTCTTGGTGGCCACACGCTATGCATAACAGATGCAACGTTATACGCAGAAGGTAGCATGCAAAAGACTCTCTGACGATTGCTAAAATAAAGTCAAAATAGTTTGATTTTACTCAGAAAAGTTCATTTTTTAAAAAAATGGCTTGCAAAAGAACAAGACTATTAATAATCGTAGCCGGCAAGTCATCCGACCAGTTCGTTTACTTTGAGTGGGACATTTTATTTGGATAGTTTCTCATGCCAATGCCAACGCAAAGCCAAGATACTTCTTTAAAATAACCCTCTATTAGCCCAAAACACAACTAGGACTCAATAAAATTCCACGATAAGTGTTTCCACCAAAATTCAAGTTAAAAACTTTTCTGAATTACATTAACCGTCACCTTTTTACATTTTTTTTGGTGTAGCTAATGCTATGGATATCAGTTTTTGTGGATATCAATTTTATGTAGATATCAGCTTTTAAATCGGCGCAGTAAATTGCATACCCAAGCGCGCTCACATGGAATAATTGGTAAATAGTTCGCAATACCAGTGATCTCCTAGAAACAATATTATTTTAAAATGTTAAAAGCTAGCGAGCCATGTATAACAGGAAAAGCATTTCCGTTGAAATATTGTTTGCCGGACTCGCATCACCACATATCGCAAACTTCTGTAAACCAAAAAATTGTCAGGTTTGATTTGTTCTTTCAGTATTCTTAATTATTTGTTGTATAGATTATTCTATTTCAAAAATACATACTGACTCGGAGCAAGCAAATGAAATTTCGTTGATGAGGGGATAAAGGAAAATTTATGACTTTTTGTTGATGTTAATTCTAGCACGTCATTCTTTTTTCTATTTTTCAGTGATGTTGTAAATCCTTTATGCACTATGTTAATAACCAACATAAGCAAGAAATACTTATTGAATCCACGTTATTCTTTTCTCACTGTACTTAGATATTGTCGAATCAACTACTACTCACTTACATGTTTATCAGTTATTTTCAATTGTTTAGCGGTGGAAATAACGTACACAAATAACGTTACTTTCAAATGAGAAACATAACTATCCATTTCTTTTGTAATGAGTATTTATAAAAAATACCCGTTTTTGTAAACGGGTTATGTACCAGTTTAGTAATTACAGTTGATAAAGAATATAAAATTTTTTTCAGCCACTTGGCCATTGTTAACAAGGTGCCTCATAGATTATAGAAAATAAGTTTCTTGCTTGTTTATAAATCGGCCAATTTTAAGTCTCTTATTATGTTTTACTTTTTTTCGTATTTGACAATAAACATAGAAAGGATTTGGAATGAAGAATTTCCAAAACATGAAACGTTGACATCGATCACCCCTGTACAAATTCTTAGTAACTCTTCACTTCAACACGTAACACCTAGTTGTAAAATGAGTCGTTTTGTTACTTACTTTGAGCGGGATCCATGGACATGATTTGGAATATCGGAATTGTATTCAAAAAAATGAATTAAGCGAGCAAATGGCAGATCTCCAGCGTTTTTTCATAATTACTAGACTCGTTACTGTCTCGTTTTTCGCATTCTGGTACCCTTACGTCCTAAACGTGACAGTCAAGAGAGCTACCTTTTGACTCACTGGCTTCCTTTCGGCGATTTCGTGATTGTGAATACCACTGTCGTTAACGTTTTTCATCGACACAACCTTTCAGACTTGAATCACATAGCGAGTGCATGTCGGGTACATCCCAACAAAATCTTTACAAGTTAGTGCTAGGATTAAAAAAAACTTCTGCGTCGTACGCACCAGTACACCCGGCTCCCTCTTGAAAGCTGACTACAACTGTAGAGTAAATCAAACGGCTTTCTAAACCATCAGTATCGTGATATCTATGAATAGATATCATGGTCAGTTAAACAATTCATTTGGTGAGTAAATTGAGTGATTTCAGCAGCAAAGTAACTTGATTTCCAGCAGAAAATCAATTGCAATTTGGCTCGAGCGTAATCCGTTGAGTGAATTCTGTGTGCCCGCAGTGGTCGTTAATTGTCGATTTGGTCATGAATATTCATAAGTTGCAGGCTGGCGAAGTGGTTTCATGTTCAATTTTTAAAAAACTTTTTCTGTAGTTAGACAACGACCAACTCGTGTCAGAAACCTATGAAAATTGAGAAGTCACCGCATTTGTTTTCGAAGTAAAGCGTTTGGAAGACGTTACTTTTTCCTATCATTCCTCCACTCAGCTTTAGCTCTTCAGAAAGTCATGCATGTCCGAATTAGTAGAAAAATTCGATTGCATGTGAGAAGAAAAAGAGGAATATTTAACACTTCTGATGTTCAGATTTTTTTGTTATAATGAGAAGAATGAGTGAAGGAAGTGATCTGTGAAAAGAAAAAATTTTGCTTGCAGTATAATGAAAATGCTCGCTAGGTATTACAAAACCGATCTGGGTCGCTTGTAACAGACAGTTCTGCAAAATTCAAATTGTTGTAAAAGGTAGCTGCAGTATAAAGCCTTACAAGATGATCAGGAATATTTTCAGTGTCTGTGAAAAACTACCCCTTCAAAGGAAGCTTAACTTTAGAAGAAGTCAAAATTGACAATTAAAAATGGGACATAAAAAATGGGACATAAAAATGGTATACGGTTTTCGACATGTAACAATCTGAATTTTTGTTTGTAGGTCATTCCTAGAACGTTGGCAACAGCAGTACCTGTTGCAAGATTCTCAAACGAAAAGCATGGAGCCACTGGATTCAGCTTTTGCACCTAAAATATGTAAGAACAAACTGGGTTATCTGTGTATCAAATCAGAGCAAGTGATGTAAAAAACTCTACATCGGAAGCACCACACGATTTTATACATGATCACGTAAGAGAGCACTTGAACAATGACAATTCGTTCGTATAAAACACATCCGAACGTGCCAAAGGACAATTAGCAAGCAAAGTATTGATTTCGAAATAATCGTACAATAAAACGACCCCGTCAAATTACGACTATTCGAACTGCTTCATATCCAAAAGTGTAAGCCCGAACTTAATTCCCGAAAGGAATGTATTGAACTCAGAGTCCTTTTATTTTAAACAGGACTACTTAGATCTTTTGTTCTCGCTACTACTCATTAGTAATTTTCTATGTGATTGTGTGTTGCCATCGCCGCATTTGTAAAAACTCATTGTCCTTGTATATATTCTAATTATTCGTGTCACCTACATTGCTTTTTATATTACGCACAATGAAAGATTTTCTTTACATTCTCTGATGATGCCATCGGAAAAAGCTTGGAATTAAAAGAATAACAGTAGCTCAAGGTCTCCGGCGAATCGTCTAGTTAAAGTGGCTTTTATAGTAACTTAACACAGGAGAAAGAATAGTTTTCATAAATAAAAGTTAGATCATCTCTCCTTATTATACCAATTAGGGAGCTCTTTAAGTAACCAAGAGGAAGAAAGAGGATGCCTTTCAAGGCGGGTAAAGAAGGTAGATGACATTAACTATGGTCTTCAGAGAAATAAAGTCAAGAAACTTGAAAGAACTGGATCAAACAGTGAAAACAAAAAGACTGACTGTCATTCAATCAGCGGTAATGGTAGATATTTCAGACCCGGGAAGAGAGGTCACGTGTGGAGAGACGGTGTTGCTTCAGGAGTTTGTTCTGGAGATCATTTAACATGGTTCTCAACAATGGATGAGGCATGTCTTCAGCTTGGAGAGCAAGGAAAGCATTATAGACGAGCCACAGTCATAACTCAAGGACCATTTGTCAATGATACTTCGCGAACAGAAGAAAAGAATTCTTTGAACATCAAGATAACTTCTGCTTTCTCTCTTAAAACAGATATGTCCTCGACCTCGTTCCGCGACAAGGAAGTACTATTGAGTTTAAATCACCCACAGCCAACTAAGATTGAATCTGTCGGGAAAAAACTGTCCTCCAGAGTCTCGCCTTATCCTGTTCTGCGACAGCAACAAAAACAACCGATCAAGAGTAAAGTGCCAAGCCAAAGAGAACATATGGGGGCTTTCCTTGCGATTGAAAGCAACAGCACAGGACCAAGGTGTTTTGATGTTCAAAAAGAAGGGAAAGATTTGAGCTGGTCCGATGGAAGACAAAATACCGAACAACAAGGGTACACAAAACTGGGGAAAAGTCGAGAATTTGATTCTGTCAATCTAAATGGCGCTTGGAGCGACAGTTGTGTGACAAACGAAGACGATATGTATCCCTTAAAGATTCCTCTCTACACAGGATCACCAAACCACTGTAATATTTCTAGTGAAAGTGGGCCATCCATTTTATTTCAACGAGATCTTGAAACACACGAACAAGTGGCACCCATGACACCAAGAAATGTGGAATTTGAGACAAAAAGCGAGCCATTAAATCAACACGAGACAGTTTCTATTTGTTCATCAGAGGAACTTAGAAATGACTTTCGTAATTGCGATGATTTCAAGAACCAGTATTTACAAACAGAATACACTGGCAACCTGTCTGTAGGAAGATGTCAACCACACATTGGTGACCCCAAATCCCTGTCTTTCACAACAATCAGAAGAACGAAACGAACTCGAGAACACGATGAATCGATTGCCAGCGACATGATTAACCATGGAATGCCATCATTGCTAAGCACCACTTCTGGGGAGCATTATTTGCCAATGGCCCTCAGTAGTCACACTTACAATGACACTAATACACAATTTAAGAGTGGTCCAGAAAGACAGCTTGTGAATTATAATGCAAAAGTTTTTTTGCCTTGGCGGTTCCAAAATATTTCCCCGGGTTCTCCTCATGAATTGAAGACCACGAGAGAAGCCCAATTGCAGCAAAGCAACGTCCATCCTTGCGCTTCCTCGGGAAGCAATGACAATGCAGCTGTCTCCTTAAAGGTAATCTATAAAGATAAACAAGAAATGGAAAGAACATTTAACTTTAATTCAGTTGATTCTAAACGAAGATTTTCCAGAGTGCAGTTTTTCATAACACCAGCACCCGAAACGCTCAAGAGCTTGAAGATGACCATGGAGCTAGAAAATGACGAAGAACCTATAGTCAAGATACCCAACTATTTTCTGGATTTCATCCCTGAAGACAGACCAAATGATCACTCAGCCCCTAAGTTAGCTCATATTTCAAAGTCGTCGTTTGCTTTCAGCCCACAACAGGGTTGCTCCTCCTGCTACAAAGCCAACTGCAAATCAGTAGACAATGTGGTCAAAAAAGACATGAACGCAAGGCGGACAAAAAAGATACCACAACAAAATGTGACCATGGAGAAAAAGGTTCTACGTGTAGTCAACCCTTCCAAAACGAGAGTTATGTCTTTCCTGGAAAAAGCACCAGATACCAGACACTTCACATTTTCTTCATACAACAGTGAGGGGCTTACGTCTGTTCCAACGCCTCAAGTGAACGCTGGTGTTCCAAACACAACAGTAACCGAGATACCTCTCCAAGTGCGGACTTGGCCGGATGCATATCAAGAAAAGGTTCCCATTCTCACTCTACCTTTGAAAATGACCTGTAATGCAAGGTCTTCAAACGAAGTTCACACCACTTCAGAATTTAGCAATCCACTTTCACAATCCAGAGAGGAGGCCAACTGTAAGCGTGCCACAAGTCAGGTCCTAGTGGTATCCAGCGGAGCTAATACTGAAAAATGTTGCCAATATAACTTGCATCAGAAGCCTAGCTTTATAAAGAAAAGCCCACGATGTTTCAGCGAGGAGTTTAACAGAAAGATTACGCAAGAATGTATAGATTGCACCGCGTTGGAAAGAAAACATGGTCTTCCGAACAGGCGAGATGAAGTTTCCTTAAGTAACTCTGCAAAACATCGTATTTTAACTGAACAAGAAACAAGGGTTGAATTCACGGAAGAGGAAGAGGAATTTCCCTTGAACAGTTCATCAAAACATTTTATTTCAAATGATCAAGAAAGAAGACCCACTGATACTACAACAACTGAGGAATTTGTCCATTATTTAAGTAGTCATGCCTTTTGGAGTCAAAGCAATGACGATGTAATGATTTCAACTTGTACTCAGACATCATCTGCCATTGAAAACTCAACAGCATTATCGTTAGGCAAACGGAAATATCAGTGCGAGGTGTGTGGACGTTCGTTCAGTCGAAGCAACACTTTAATTACTCACAATCGCATCCACACTGGTGACAGGCCTTTTCCTTGCGACGTGTGCGGTAGAGCTTTCCGTCAGCTCGGAAACCTAACTCGTCACAAACTGACTCACGCTGCAGTAAAGCCCCATACGTGCTCCATATGCAAAAAGTGCTTCAGTCGCACGTCCAATTTGAACACTCACATGAGAACACACACAAACTACAAGCCGTTTGTTTGCGATTTTTGTGGCAAGGGTTTCCATCAGAAAGTGGACATGAAAATACATCGATACATTCACACTGGTGAAAAGCCTCACAAGTGTAGCAAGTGTGGTCGTGGCTTCAAACAACTTACTCACCTGAAGTACCACATGAGAACTCACTCTACTGTTCGATTGTACAAGTGTGAACACTGTGGCAAAGGCTTCAATCAGAAAGGTAACCTTCAGGCTCACATTTACGGACATACTGGTAAAAGACCGCACCGTTGTGAAATTTGTGGAAAAGGATTCACTCTCACCTCCACTCTTAACACTCACAGGCGTACGCATGCACCGTATAAGCCATTCAAATGTGAGTATTGTGAGAAAGCGTTTTACCAGAAAAACGCGCTGAAAACCCATTATATCTCATCTCATCCATGTACAAACGGTGTGTGTCTTCTTTAGACATACTAACTGACCACGGTCACGGAAACGGCGGGAAACGGCGGGTGAAATTGTCCTGTTAATCAATTTTCGCGAGTGAACTACCAGTAATCGTCAACCTTTGCCATTTTTATACTTTCATCGACGATTAATATACACTGAGAAGTTTATCTCATTCACTTTGAAATGACAAGTGTACGTAAATTCAAACGACTTTTGTAAAGTTGTGAGAGTTTTGTTTGGTTGTTTGTAGCTCGGCGCTCTAATGGCGCGTAATCACCGCGTACAATTTTAACAAAAAAAATGAGTCAATTTTAGTCGCGTTTATCTCTTTGATCGTTGGTGTATTTGTGAGGAACATCTCGGAATACCCTTAATGGATTTCCTAGCCTTCTGCTATTTAATCCATGGTAAAAAGCCTAATATCAAGTGATTCGCAACGACTGACAGAAATTGTCCTTAAAAGGATGAAAGTGAAGAATGATCATCGCAAATTTACTGCGATGATCATTCTTCACTTTCATCTAGAACCGAAGTTCCAATATGAATTATTTCATATATACTCTAGCATCTGAGTTAGTCGTTGCGAAGATTTTTTACGAATGGTTTGTATGACAGTGGCGTAAACACACCCACTTGTAAGCCGATTTACCACAGGAAAAAGAAATAGCACGTTGTTTGGCGGCTAAGGGTCGGTTCGTATAGATGGTCGCTCAGAGTTTCTCACTATACAGACCTCTCAGCCGGCAAATAACATATACATATCTTTCCCAGCTACCTGCAATACAACAAAAACCCACATGTAAGAACCTATATTTTTTTAAGTCTGGCAAAATAGGTTCATATATTTTGAAGAGATTACCACAGATAAATACAAAACAAAGAGCAGTTTCATCACAAGCACACGTTTATTCGAGATAGAACAGATCGTCACTTTCTTTTTACAAATAAAGCTTTTCCTTTATCCTTAAATTTCAGATCCGTACTGGAGAAATATATTTAAAAAGTCACCAACAACTTCACTTTCATAAATAATTTTTTAGAGGATAAATAAATTAACTGAGCTGTTTCCTTTTTCTATTGGGGGCTAGATTACAAAATGTTCATATATTTACAGATTTGTAACCTTCAAATCCCAAAAACGATTCCATACATGAAAAGAATACTCTCTGAGCCATTGAAATTTTTGAAAGGAGACAAACAAAACGACCATCAAGTTAAGTAACAATTTTCATCAATTGTTTAATGAAAAAAGAAAGCTTTGTTCACAGAATACAGCATGTCTTTGATTTCTTATCCCTGTTGTTCTTGTTGTTTGCCTCACTTGTTGAATCTTTCGTCTCGGATATCTTACGTTCTGAAGTAATTAGTTTATCAACTTTCTGTGCAGCTGAATTTCTCGTATTGTTATTTGCTTCGTTCTTGTCTCCACTGAAGGATGTTTCCCTTGATTCGTTCATTGCTACAAGATAAAAAGAAACAATTGGTATCTTCAATGTTGTCCAAAGTGTTTCGTTCTGTTTAAAACTCAGAGCACGTGGAGAAAAATGGACTGCCCAAATCCTGATTTTAACTTAGAAGTGCTCCTTACAATCAAGTCGTGCCGCTCGGATTAGACTTCGAGTAGTCCCTCCGTTTCGCTTAGTCCGTCGTGCGTGAAGCGAAAGAAAACCGCGAGAAAAAAATGCCCGCGCGAAATTCTGGGGGTAAGAAGTGCGAGTTCTTCACGGTTTATTTACGGTCTCGCTCGACGGACTAAGCGAAAGAGGGACTACTCAGCACTTAGACCTCAGAGTTAATTCTCTGCTTTGTGTCTCCTATTCCGATCAGAAGCATCGTTTACTTTCCGGCTGACTCGTCAAGTCACTGACATAATCTGGCCGGATTTTTCAACCTAATCGTAGTTCTTTGGTACGCTTCGGCGGCATATCTGGCGAGTTTGGTCTAGCCATGGCCGTATTTTTGCGTAACTTAGTCGAGCCAAAAAACCGATGGTGCGACCAAACGAAGATTCCTAACTGGTTGCACCCAACTGGACCTTTTGTAAGCACTCATTTGGTCTCGCCATGGGCATTTTAGTTCGCTTGTCTCTAGCCAAAATATGAACCATGACTGGATCAAACTCTCACGGTATGCCGCCGAAAGCGTACCAAACCTGAAAATAGTGCCCATGACCGCACCTTCTTCATTATTCTTGTCCGCCAACGACTGCCAGTTGTTTCTATTATCGACACATCCGTCATAGAAGGGCTTCAGACAAGGTTCCAAATCATAAAATAACTACAAGAAAAAAAATAGCACATCTAATCATGCAGATGAAGTCATACATCATTCACCAGACAGTGTTCATTTTGTTGTATGAGTTCAGGCAAAATCCTTATATTTCCCACTAAAAGGTATCACGCATATGCGCAAGCTTTACCCACTGATCAGCAAATACTAACAATTTAAAATCAATCATGACAATAAAAGAACAATTTGAGTGAATTCAATTTCAATGTAATGCTCGTTTGTCGAGGAAAAGGTTGTTGTTATTCATCGTGGTAGATGCAATAATAAAGTGTATTATCGTTTGTCTCACGATANTAGTCACTTGAGATGTAGATCGCGATCTACATCTCAAGTGACTACATCGTGAGACAAACGATAATACACTTTATTAATGCTCGTTTATTTGTCATTCACTAGTAACCTGACGTGTAGTACGCTATATGCCGAATGAACAAGTTCTCGTCCATGCTGCTTGCACATTTCCTGACTCCCTTAACCAGACCAAGCGCGTGCAGCAGGTCCGTTATGTGGAAACCCAAATCTGGCAGCCTTACTGGTATTACGGATCTTTTTCTTGTGGGGTTTGTTGCTTTTTGGCTTTTATTCATGACATACTGTTTAGACCATTTGCTTTGTTTGAATTAAGATCATTTATCTTCTCTTGTTTATCTCCTCGTGTAATAGGACCAAGATAAAAATTACTGCACTGTAATTGGCCTAAAAATTCCCTATATGATTTGTTAGCGTTAAGTATCGTAGCTCATTGTGCGTACAAGTTTTGATCCAATAGAAACGAAATAGCTGTTGAAAGCATTAGCAATACTAGCCTGGTATCAATTAATATGATATCAACAACTACTAACTTAGATGGAAAAGACATACATGATATTGCAGCATTTTCAAGTTCGAGGTCACAGTTTTTCCCTATCGGACCGACCCTAGGCAGGCAAATAATATACTTTTTTTCCGTGGTAAATTGGCTTGCAAGTGGGTTTGTTTTCACCACTGTGTCTCTGAATGGCTTACGTGCCATCTACAAACCATTCTTAAGAAATCTTCGCAACGACTAACTCAGATACTAGACACAAAAAAATGAATTAAAGAACAGATACATGAAGATATGATTGATCATCACAGTTATACACAACTTAAGCAGTTGTAAAATTAAAGTCTGAAAAACATTCAGGCCTGAACGGGATTCGAACCCATGACCTTAGTGTCTACCAACTGAGCTATCCAGCCAACTGAGAGCTGGTCACGTTGAGAGTTCGTAATATACCCGCAGATGAAGTTCAAATATATGATCTTTCATATATTCACTTGCATTCTTCATCATCTACGGGTATATTACGAACTCTCAACGTGACCAGCTCTCAGTTGGCTTGACAGTATATACTAACACCCAGAGTGCGTATCAATAGCCTCTCGAGACTGACGGATGCCCGTTATTATTGTTATTGTGATTGTCGTCGTTGTTGTTGTTGTTGTTGTTGTTATTGTTATTATTATTACTGTGAAGTTGCAGAAATGTTTAGTATTTAAACAATGGGTTTGTGCGGTGCTTTTAAGTCGGCTCCCTTTAAAAGTTCGCACGCTAGTGTTCGTGGCTAGTACTATTCAGTGATGTTGATGTAAATATGCGTGTTTTGACTCACAAACCCCGGGTTTGTTCAGTGCTATTTTCTCGCGTACGCCCTCGGCTCAAACATAGTTTGCATGTTTTTGTTTTGTTTCGTACTATTCAGTGATGTTTTTATTGTGCAACCATTGCCTCGCAAATACCGGGTTTATGCGGTACCTTTTTTCTTGGCTTTTGTAATTTTTGCAGGCTTGTTTTCTTGGTTTGTACTATTCAGCAATTAGGTCCCCTTGTTTTGCTATTAGATGGCACACCTATGTTCTTGTAAGTTGTGCTATCACCTTGTAGTTATGTCATTTTGCACGCTTTGTTGCTCCATTTTTTATTACTCCAACTTGTTTTGTTGCACTTCCTCCAAACGCCTTTATCGTTTACCTTCTTCCCATGGTAGCCTGAAAGGCTGTCTAATGCTCTAATTGGATTACTAACTAGAAATTGTCTCTTTCGCACACCCCAGAGATTGTTTTGGTACTTAGGCAGCGTCCACACTACGCCAGAAAAATTTGAAAAAGCAGCTCCATTGCTGCGCTCTTCAAACCGGAGGAATTTGAAAACGCAGGCTTTTCGTTTTCTTGTGGACGGAAAACAAAAACGATGGCGTCACGATAATCTTGTGATTTCCCTGATCGAGGTTTCCTCAAACACAAATCCAAAATGATAGGTGATGGTCGGTGATGGTCGGTGATGATCGGTGATGATCGGTGATGGTCGGTGATGGTCGGTGATGGTCGGTGATGGTCGGTGATGGTTGCGTTTTTAAATTCCTCCGGCGTAGTATGGACGGGGCTTTAGTGTTTTTGAATACTTGCATATTCCAGGGGGGAGCAGAAAAGTTATGTTTTGATTGCAACATCCAAAACAAACATGGCGTCGTGTGTCGTGGTATTCTAAAATTCCGAACTACAAGCAGAACACACCTTTAAAGAGTTTGAAATGGTAAGGAATAAACATCAAGGAGACTGGACCGACGGTAAAGAGAGTAACAATGGCTTATAAGCAGTGACATCGTCCCTCCTTCGCGTTCATGAAAAGAAAGTCTGAGTCAAAGATTTCCCTGAATAAAGCAAAGCCACGCTACGTAACACTTCAGACAAGTTTAAGAGAAGTTGAGCACTCTCGCGAACTGGATGACGGTAAGATTGTAAACAACTTCGAGTCAGTTTTGAAAACATCTTCTGACTTTGTTTTATGGTTGCCTGGTTGTAAACAATTTTAAAATTTGAGCGAGTTCTAAAAAATATTTGGGCTAAAACCTGCCTCTCTGGTTAATGCATGTGTGGGAAATAGAAAAACTTCCGTGTGACTTGATAAATAGTTTCCCGTCAAACACATCTCTTCTCCGGATTATTGTTTTTCTTCTTCGAGTTACGGCCTGTATAAGGGAATCCTTGTTTACAATATTTGCCTCATTAGTATAAGCAATTCAGTTTCTGATGGAGCTAAAAATAAATCACATCTGAATACTGAAAGGTTATAGTACGATTAACTCTACCAATGAATATGAGCCTGATGTATTGAATACTTTTTGTGCAACACGGGTTTAAAAACTCAAAATTTTACAAAGAATGTATGAGGTCATTAGCGCTTTTGCCACCCAGAAATTTTGCAGTTTTTGAAAGACAATATCTCCTTGAATATTACACCCAAAGAGCTCAAAATTTCACCATGTATTAAGTTTCACTAGCTCTTTAGCTGCCTGGAGTCAATTCATATCTGACAAGTTTCCTTCTGTACGCAAAGCCGTATGCAAATGAGCAAAAATGTAAGCAATGACGTCAGCATGAATCCCCCCTATAGGTAACCTATTCATTATTTCATTTCTTTTTTTCTTTGTTCACCCTCTTCCTACTTAACTAGATTGGAGGTTGCCCGTGGCTGTGCGACGGCTTTAATACCTTTCTGACGTTTAAGCTTCATGAATCAGATGGCAGCATATAACAAATATTAACGCAACAGTTACAAAATAGGTTGCCTCTCTTCACCATCGTCAATAATTTTAGCTAATATCCCTGGCGAACATGTTTAGTTTCTCTCGCCAAGTTTTCAACATCAGGTTATTTTTCCACTAGTCTTGTCTCTGAGAGGAACTGGGCTACCCCGATTTTTCCTTACATTTCTGGCCCAGGCAACGTTACAAGATAACTTCCTGTCTCTTTTTTTACATTTGAAAAATATTAGCAATATTTGCTTTTAGCACAACAAATATTCCACTTGCGCTTGTTGTAAGTGAAAGTCTACGCGCCTCGTTGGCATTTGCCACCTCATATCCAACGTACGCAAATACCTGGCATAACAATAAATTAAACTGATTAGCTATTGGTAAGTATTCAGTTTAAAGACTTACCTTATACACTGGTATACAAATGAAGTCAATGAAGCCGACTTGCATCTTTGGTAGCTCATCCTTTTTTTTCCTATCCATCATGGGCTGCAAATGAATCTATATATAAGGCATTGCTTTTATTCCAGAAATTGTTGTTAACAAAACTCCAAACGTTCGGCCAATTGAAAAACAACATGAAAACGGCGAACGACAAATAGAAGAGGAGTATGGGAGTCGAGAGAGCTTACCTGCTTTGATCTGATGATCAGATCTTATCTGTGTAGATAGTGTATAAGTTGATATGTATTGATCATATGGCACCTCCGCTGTTAACATTTAGCTTACTTTATTTAAGGATGTTCGCGCCCCAAATGTTCCCAGACGCAGATTTTATTGAAACTTGCCCAGGCGGTGAGGTTAATATCTTTTGCCAACAAAGCCAAAACAATGGGGTGGGGGAGGGGTGGGGGGTGGTCGCCAGGCGCGTTTTCGAGATGAGCCTCATCGAAGAAAATGCGTTCATAGAAGCTTGATGTATGACGTGGCATGACGTAGCGACATGAATTAAGGATTCATCGTTTCTACATTCATCCAGCCTTATTCAAAAAGAACATCACCAGATCTTTGCAAAAAGGAAGCACCAGTTATTATTCGTGCTGTACTGTTTTGGATTTTTTGTAAATTAGCAATCTGTGTTTCACTTATACTTTCCCAAACAATCCAACAGTACGTAAAGTAGGGCCCAATTATTGACTGGTAAAAGTCAATTGGGTTTTCTGTCTTTGGAACTGTCTTATACTTAGCATGTAAATGTGGTTATCCCAAGTTAAATATTTATCGATATGTACGCCGAGGCATTCAGCAGACTTTACTTTCTGGATGGATGGATGGATGGATGGATCAATGGATGGACATATCAACTTATTCATGGATATTAAAGTTTAATTTAACATGACCCGTAGAATTATAAAAACTCACAATAGGTTCTGAGTTTAGCTGAAATCTTTCCATGTCCCCTTGCTCAAAGAACTCGCTAGCAACTAGTTCGGCAACCTAATGGAAGATAACAATTAAGTCAAATTAGCAGGGTTCAACATGACAGCTCTATAATGCAATTTTGTAAACAACAAGAGGATAGCTTCTAATTACGCGAAGATCCAGGTGGAGAAATCAAGTAGAGAAACACTGTCAGTGAGACTGAAACACATGCAAAAACAAGCCAGGCCGAACTTTTTCGGCAGTAAAATGGTGGGCAAGATCACAGAAGTAACGGACAAAAGAAAATGGCCCTCCCCGGATGTAGTCTATATAAAATACACTTCAAGATGTAGCAAAATAAGGCCAATCCATGAAAACTTGCATAAATTAAAATTTTATCCGTCTGTACTCTTATTGATGATAAAAATGAGCCAATCAGCGCGCGAGAAATTAGACAGTTATTGTAAAAATAAAGTTTGATTGATTGATTGGTTAATTGACTGATTGATTGATTGATTGATGGATTGATTGATTGAAATTTGATTGGTGTGAAATATTCACTCACTGCATCAATCATTGCGACACCTATGCGTTACTTTTTTGGGGGGGAAACCCTAATAAATTGTATGTGCATGACTGTTTGGCATGTTAAGTCAAAAAGGTGTTGTTGGCTGGTAACATGCAAGAAGTGTGCCAATCAGTAAGTTTGAAATACAATACCAGTGGCTGGAAAATAAAATCAGCTGGTGATATGGTTATTCAAAACTCTTTACTGAACCCCTTGCAAAGACAAGCATGCTATGGAGAGAAGCAATATGCTTAGTCCTGCTTGTATAAGGAACCACAAATACAAACTCCGTAGCGCGGAAATGCGTCCCGAGCAAGAGTTTACATCACAGTATCATACTGAGAGTTGAAGCTCTTATCTACACAGCACCTAAGGGACCGTTCATTTTTTATGAGGGAGGGGGGGCTGGTGGGATTTGGGAAGCACCATTTAAAAATCGCATGACCCCCC